CAAACAAAGCAACTTTTTAAAGCAATATCCGAGAATTCATATTTTAGCTGGAAGCAATGGTTTGAAGTTAAAAATGTCTTAATGATGGGTTTTAATTCAAAAGACATTAATTGATGGACTTATGATTATTGTGATGTTTTATCAGTTGTTTGGCCTCTCATTCTGACGGCACCCATTCACTGCAGAAGATCCATTGTTGTGATGTAATGCTAAATTTTTCCAAATCTGTTCCGTTGAAGAAACAAACTCATCTACATCTCGGATAGCCTGAGGGTGAGTACATTTTCAGCTAATTTTCATTTTTGGGTGAACTATTACTTTAAAGTGATACTACCAACACCAAGGTCATTGGTCTGTGTTCCAGGGAATGCAATGTAAGTTGGTTTTTAATAAAAGTGTTTTCGTAAATGTAACATTAATGGTAATTATTTCAAAACTGGATTGGATTGGGGTCTGACGTGCAAATGCTGAGAATGATAAAAATCATTCTGTCTGGTATGTATTTCCTTTCTGGGCTGGAGGGATATCAGACTCACTTTGTGCTCTTTCAGGCTAAGTGAGGCTTAGCATGCCAAATCCAAATCTGATAACTGCTCACAATCTAACACGCGGGTGAAAAGGTTTAAATGCCCACTGTAACCACATCAAACAGATGTGGGGGGATTTCTAATCTGGCTTGTTTTATTTTGACCAAATGTTTGGCTTGAGAACTGAGCTCAGTTTGTGATTAATGGGTCTTGGAATAAAAGAGACAGATGATTTTAAACATATTTATTAGCAGGCTATAACATTTTTATATATATATATATATATATTATTTAAGTTTGGTTTGCATTTGTAAACTTTTAAGTGGTTGCTTTATTGCCCGTCTAGTAGAAGTGTTGTACATTGTATAGCCACTAGATGGTAATAATTGTCATTTTATTTTACAGGAATCTCTCGTTGACGGAATGTGGAGGTTTTCAGTATAAATATTTAAGTTTAATAAAAGACAAAGTTTAATGAAATCTGTTAAAGATTAATTATTTTCATAATTAAAGTTTTTTTTTGTCTGGGCTTTGTTTTTCTTTCATTACATTTGGAATGAACTTCTCTCCTTCGAAGCAATATCCTGAGGTGTTGAATATCATAGCAGCTATTTTGATAAATTCCTCTGCACCCTTATTTTCCACTGTTGCCATTGCTTTATTAGGCCATAATACCAGTGCCACTGGGGGACATTTTATATCAAGTTGCTGTTTATGATTTTACAACTAAATCTGTGGTTGAAATCTTATATAGAAGGATTTACATTATTTATAGAAATTTGTACGGAATGCAAAGTAAAATGAGTTTAGTCTTCTAAAGCAAATAATTCCACAGTTTGCGTTGGACAACTTAAATATAATCTTTTAAAAAATCACAATGGTAGTTTCCACTAAAATATTTCAGTTATTGTTACTAAAAGTAATATAGCCACCACTGTAATAATAATAATAATAAAGAAAGAAGGGAAAAAAGTTCTTGTTTGAATGAGATCACATAATTCGGTTTTTTTTTTTATTTGTTGTAGTAACAATAATATTGTATTTTGGCTGAAACTATTATTACCATGGTAGACATCCAGACTGAGCGTTTGTGTTTTATTGAGCGCCTTTTTTGTTGTAGGAGGGCGGAGCCACGATTTACGCAATATATTTTCAGTTGTAAGTAGGCGGAGCACATTCTCTACGTCATTGGCTTTTCAGAATTGTGTAGGAGGAACCACGCGTGCGTCATGAATACCCCGCCCCCTTATTAGAGGACAGAGAGGAGAGCGAAAGTTCAGTGTGCGCCAGTAGAGATGTGAGGAGGACACAGGAGCTGCTGACGGACTGTACGCTTCACAGAAGTTCGGGGATAACTGAAGACAAGGACAGATTTGTTATTTCTCTTGCTGAGCTCCTCCTGATGCTCTTATTTGTGCTAATAATGACGGTAACGACTGACGTGAAATATTAGTGTTTTAAGTGACTGTGCACTCGCGTTTTTCATAGAAACATATGGCGAACTTGGAGATTGGGCATCATTTTATATGATGATATGCAGAATTTGAAAAGGTATCTTTTTCAGAGAAGTTTCATTCAGAGGAATATCTGTTTTTCGGCGTTTGAACTGGATGACAAATGAAATATTCCCTTTTAAAGCCCTTTTAATCTAAGCAGTATCTATGGAGCTACATAATCACCCATAACACACAAAAGCATCCTCTCTTGGGACTGTACGTGCCAGGAAAGTTTTCATTGACTTACATCACTCAAAAAAGGTGACTGAAAATACAGCATGGGAGGCTCACCTCTAAAAATTGTGATTTCTCTGTGGTGTCAGCTGGTCATTGCTGCCTACAGTTTAGAGATTGGCTCCTATGACCTGGAGAGAGGGAGACCAGCTAAATGCGAGCCCATCGTCATCCCTATGTGCCAGGGCATTGGGTACAACCTCACTCGGATGCCCAACTTTATGTCCCATGACAATCAGAGGGAAGCTGCGATTAAGCTGAATGAATTCGCCCCTCTGGTGGAATATGGCTGTGATGTGCATTTGAGATTTTTCCTCTGCTCTCTTTATGCCCCTATGTGTACGGACCAAGTGTCCACATCCATCCCTGCCTGCCGTCCCATGTGCGAACAGGCACGTCAGAAGTGCTCGCCCATCATGGAGAAGTTTAATTACGCCTGGCCTGATTCTTTGGACTGCTCTAAACTGCCCACCAGAAATGACCCCAACGCGCTGTGCATGGAAGCCCCGGAAAATTATACCAAAACCGATACTAAGAAAGGAGAGGGCATGTTGCCTGTTCCGTCCAGACCAAAGCAGCCCGGCGCTGGGAACGGACGCTCAGGGGGAAGCATGGGAGTTTGTGAGAACCCAGAAAAGTTCCAGTATGTGGAAAAGAGTGAGACTTGTGCTCCGCGCTGCTCATCGGTCGTGGATGTGTTCTGGTCCAGACAGGATAAAGACTTTGCTTTCATTTGGATGGCTGTTTGGTCCACTCTGTGCTTCGTATCCACAGCTTTCACAGTCCTAACCTTCTTGCTTGACCCACATCGCTTTCAGTACCCGGAGCGGCCCATCATCTTCCTCTCCATGTGCTACAACGTTTACTCAGTCGCCTTCATCATTCGATCCGTCGCTGGGGCGGAGAACATTGCGTGTGACCGTGAGAACGGCGAGTTGTATATTATCCAAGAGGGCCTGGAAAGTACGGGTTGCACCATAGTCTTCCTCATCCTCTACTATTTTGGCATGGCAAGCTCAATCTGGTGGGTCATCCTCACCCTTACTTGGTTCCTGGCGGCAGGTAAGAAATGGGGTCACGAGGCTATTGAGTCACACAGCAGTTACTTCCACATGGCTGCGTGGGGCATACCTGCGCTGAAGACCATAGTCATCCTCACCATGCGGAAAGTGGCAGGCGACGAGCTCACCGGACTGTGCTACGTGGGCAGTATGGACGTGGGGGCGCTAACGGGCTTTGTCCTCGTGCCTCTGTCCTGTTACCTCGTCATCGGGACGTCTTTTATCCTCACCGGCTTTGTGGCGCTTTTCCATATCCGAAAGGTTATGAAGACCGAAGGCACCAACACAGAAAATCTAGAAAAGCTGATGGTGAAAATCGGCATCTACTCCATCCTGTACACAGTTCCTGCCACCTGCGTCATCATTTGCTACTTCTACGAACGTCTCAACATGGACTACTGGAAATTTCGAGGGCTGCAAAGCAAATGCACCACATACCCGGGTCAGAGGAACGAGGACTGCTCCCTGGAGTCTTCAGTGCCCACCGTGGCTGTGTTCATGCTGAAGATCTTCATGTCACTGGTGGTGGGCATCACCAGTGGCGTGTGGGTCTGGAGCTCCAAGACGCTGCAGACTTGGCAGGGGCTGTGTAGCAGGAAGTTGACAGACAGGACTTGCAGGAAGCACTGCAGCGGGAGCTGCAGCACCAGTCACTGCCACTACAAAGCCCCTGCCGTTATACTGCACATGTCAAAGACTGATCCCTACTTGGACTGTCCCACACGTGTATGAGCACAACACTGAGACTGTGGCCTCATCTGTGATGTACCGTACTGTGGACTTTGTGAGAATAAGACATACGGTGCAGTGAAGCTTTGTGGTGAAGCAAACCAACTTAAAACCCAACATTGCAGCTAAACAATGGATTAACAGTACTTGTTAGTTAAAGGGAGAATTTAATTAATGCTTCCTGTAGCACAAAATGAGACAGATATGCACATCCTAATTGGTTATAAATATCTGCAATCGCTCTTGCATAGAGAAGTGCACAGTGTCCCCATCTAAAAGCTATTCAATGACTTGATAAAATGTTTAATTGTTCAAATGTTTCAGGACTTCTATTTATTGTATATATATATATATATATATTTAATTGTGCTTTGTCTTGATTTCTCACAAGATGGCATTGATCAGTCTGTTAATAAGTGCCTTTTTGAAGAAGATAATAAAGTTATATATTTTCAACATTTGTCTGAAATGTCTTCTTTGAAGTAGGCATTTCAAGAGTTAATTGCTCACTTAAGCGCTATATACTCCTACAAAGACAACATGCTCTTTTTTTTTGGTGTTGCTACACAAAATAACACTTTTATTTCACTTTCATTGAAGTGTTTATTGTGGTTGTGTTTGCATCTATTTAGAGGTGGAAGTTAAAGAGAAGCGCCTTGGTGAGACTTTTCACATGGACTGTAACAAGAAAATGCGTTAAAGCAATGCAAATATTTTGATGAAGAAAGCTAGGTTTGCATCTGAAAGGTTGCCCCAGTTCAAATGCAAATCGATCCTTGAGGGACCCTTTCAGGAGCCTTCAAAAGAGTGGGCTACCCCTGAATAACACAAGGCTATGTGGCTTTGTACGCCCCTGACATGAATAAATCTATGTTGTCAGTTTTAGGGGACTATTAGTCCGAGTTGTGACTAAGCTTGGATCATGGAGATGAAGCTTGTAGCGAAGGCCTCATTTTTGTTTTAGCACATTGTTTATGCATCGTGTTACACTCCATGTTTTATTTTTTTATTTCTTTCAGCCATTTGCTCTATTTTCTCTCTTTAATTCCCCTCCATATGACAGACGAAGCCGCTTTGGGCGCGCTTTCCTTTGAGCGCGTTTACCAGAACAGAAATCCCTGGTGGTTTTCTCTCCTTCATCCTCAAAGGGAATCGTTGAGCAGAGCGACAGACAGTAGCCTGGATTTCTGTGTGCGAACATTCACATCATCACCTTTAAACGCAGAGGTTGTTCTGGAATTATATTTCAGTAATGAGGTGCACCACGTGCACACACACACACACATCCAGAATCTCCTATTGTTGTGTGTCGCTTCTCTCTTCCCCCTCCACTCTTTGATGTGAGCCACTCATGCAAATAAAGGCACTTTTTTCCGACGCTTGATCCAGAGCATGTAGGGCTCTGATAGCTGCTTGAATTGTATTTTCTTCACCCTACCCCTGCCTGCTTATAGCAGCGGATCTGGGTTTTGATGATTCATTCGTATGCCATTGCATGTGTGCTTCAGAATTTTTTTTTTTTTTTGAGCTTGGTTTAATTGTTTATTGCTATAAAAAATCGTTGTTAGGGAGAGTACATATATGCCAAACCAACAGGCTATGCAGTATGAGCATTTATTTTTAATATATATTTTTATAATATTTATATATTGTATTTCTATGATATTTAAGTGGGTGTACGTAACGTATCCCTCAAAAGAATGGGGTATTTAGTCTTCTATTCTCAATAGTTAAATAGTCTGAATAAACATCTAGCAAGCAAGACCCATTAGAAAATATATCTAGCATTGTTTAAAGCATGAGATAATGAAAAATGTGGTGCTGTTGAGAGATTTACCGTAACGTACTACATAGTAAGTAACTATTTTTTCCAGTAAGTACTGGTGTAGTGTGATAAAATGCTACATTGTTTCTGCAAGCAGCTTAATGAGCAAAATAATCAAATATGTTCTCTTAAACTGCAGTTGTGTCTAAATTATGAATTATCAAAAAAGTTTAGCTGAACAGTATAGACAGTCTGATTAATTTTTGTGAATCCAGGTTTTGTAAATCAAACAGATCACAGACATATATATTTTGTAATAAAATATATTGTTTTTCACAACCATTTTGAACTTGAAATTAGGGTTTTTTCACCTAATTCAACCTTCTGTAACAGGAACTAGCCCAGTCTCATTTGCACAGACTCTGGCTTTACCTGACCTCAGTGAGCATTTTTTTGCTTTCGGGTTTTCCCAGTCACACACTAAAATTAAGTATATGTCCATTCAGCTGGTCATGCAAATGTAAATAAAGTGCTTAGAGCTTAGGGCAAAAATGCAACCAAAAATGTATATATTACACTTTGCAATATTTTATAATGTTCTATTCAAGATCTAGAATGTATCCTGTGCATTATATATAGCTATGTTTTTTTTTTTACAATTAATTGCCATTTTTGTTCAGATTCCAAAAATGGCCCTCTCACAATCAATTATAAGGGGCAAATATAAAAATAATAATCATTTCTAATGCTGCTATAATATTTTACAGGCAATCTCTGACAGGTCTATGTGGGTTATTGAAGCCACATAGTTTTGTTGTTTAAACTGACAGCTGCATGTGTCATTTACCCATCGTCATCACAACATTGTAAAAGCGGCTCCTCTGAGAGAGCTTTGGCAAGTACACACATCCTTTCAGCAGCCAGTGGTTCAGAGCAGGCCCTTGAGGTCTGCTAGCGTTTTATGACAGAGTGTTTTGGTATTTTTCAGCTCAGGTTGCCTTTCTAGAGGGGTGCTGACCAAATGTCCCCACAAGGATAGTAATACTAGTAAATGTTGACCTGTTGGGGATTTTTGAGGTCCCCATGAGGAAACAAGCTTATAAATCATACAGAATGAGTTTTTTTGAGAAAGTAAAAATGCACAAAGTTTGCTGTAAGGGGTAGGTTTAGGGGTAGGGTTGGTGTAGGGCAATAGCACATACAGTTTGTACAGTATAAAAACCATTACGCCTATGGAATGTCCCCATAAAACATTTGTTTGTGTGTGTAATTAAAATGACTCAGGCCAGTGACTTGCGTCGGAAAGGCACCTGCCCAACCACAAATGTGAGGTCAACTCTGGAGCAGAGCATGCATTCTCATTCCCTCACATCCTCTCACTCACTTCCCCTCACAAACCTAAAATAAACGTTGATGATGGTAAAACCTCAAATATCAAACTAACTGAATTTTGGAGTGATTTTTCCTTTGTTTGATGCCCATAAAATAAAGGAATACTCCACTCTAAAATGCTTTGCTCAAACCAACGTTCAATTGGTTTGATGTTTTACTGTCTAATGCACTTTAAAGTATCCCGGATACTTTTTAGTCCTGTCGCAAGTGGTGGGATCAGGTCGGTTAGCCGCTCTCTCGTCTGTCTGACCGTGCAGAGTGTGAGAGACCCTGTCCGGTCATGTGTTTGATTAAAAGAGGATCTTTATGAGGTGTTTACCCACCTCCATCTGAACCCCAGCCATGCTTATCAGTCCACAACCATCCACCCACCCCTCAGGAAAGAAGAAAGAGAGAGAGGGAGAGCAAAGAGAATAAAAGAAGCCCTCATTACACTCATCCACCCCCTCCACCCTCCACTGCCCTCCAGAGAACTATCCCTTTTCTACACTGTTTTGATGTGTAAATGAGCTCATTGAAAACCTGCTGGCCTAAAAGAGAAGCTTTCCATGAAAATGTGCCAGTCGCTTCGCAGCGGGGTTCACACATAGTGGGTCTGCCTTGCACAGCATTGATGCTCCTATTTTACTAATATGAATGTATACAAAGTTCAAGAACATGCATGTACAAAATTTGGTGTAGAAACTATTTTCACTCAGAAATTGATGGTAAATTTCTCATTTAAGTACAAAGAAATAACATTTAACAATAGCAGCATTTTCTTGTAAAACATACTCCAATAATTTTGTAATCATATCCTACATTAAGTCTCTGTGGGGGTATATCAGAGCTCGAGTTGAAGCTGCTTCATCGAGCCCGTTATCAGTGGACAGCAAGCCAAATATGTTCTACGACAGAAGCAATTAAGCCATAATTATGTCTGTAAGCTAAAATCAGAGTGATTGCATCTCGAATGCATTTTAGCTCCTATTTCAGTCAAGAATTTATTCTTTTTTAAATACACACTAGGGCTGGTAATGCAACGCGTTAATTAGAGCAATTAATTACGGTGAAAAATAACGCGTTAAAATTATTAACGCATTTAACGCACTTGCCCCGCCCCAGACCAATGTTGGTCATCTGACATTTCATACAACTGATTGATGACAAATATGAGGCAGGGCAACAACTCACTGTGTGATGGAGCCTAGAGAACGTAGTTAGAATGTCCCGAAAATTCAAGATATGGGGCAAAAATGCCCTGTTTGAGTTTTTGTCTCATATTTACATCATATAGGCCTAGTTAGCAATATCACACGAGCAATAGGCCTAAGTGCAATATCACACAAGTGCAAATGTGATACCGATCTTATACAACAGTTCAATAAATAAGAAGTTAATTATTTTAGACACAATGTTGTCTGTTTTGCTCAATTTTGCCAACGAAAATATAAAGCAGGGCAACAACTCACTGCGTGATGGAGCCTAGAGAACGTAGTTAGAATGTCCCTAAAATTCAAGATATGGGGCAAAAATGCCCGTTTGAGTTTTTGTCTCATATTTACATCGTATAGTTAAGCAATATCACACAAGCAATAGGCTAAGTGCAATATCACACAAGTGCAAATGTGATACTGATCTTATACAACAGTTCAGTAAGAAAGAAGTTAATGTTGTGTTATTTTAGACACAATGTTGTCTGTTTTGCTCAATTTTTCCAACGAAAATATAAAGACAAAGCAAAACTGTTTGTCTCCGAGCAACACACAGCGGCATTTCATTTCTTAATGCACGTTTTGGGTGAACCATTTGGCGCGTTGAACCATTGGCCATAGGCGTGTCATTCAAGTGGCGCTGCACAGACCGATCGGTGTATGACATCAAAGGACCGCGAGAGCGATTCAAAAGCATGCTGAGTCGTCTCTTGCGGTACTTTGATGTCACACACCGATCGGTCTGATGGTGATGATCCGCTTCAAGTCGAACAAGCCTAATGATTCTATGGACCATTCATAAAGAACCAACAGGCTTGTTTGAGATGCATCTCGCCTCGCCTGAAATGTAGGCGAGAGTAGGCGGCTGCAGTGAGGGGAGGGGGGAAATAAGTGCAG